AGCAGGAGGAGGAAGAGGAGGAGGGAATGGAGGAGGAGGAGAAGGGAGGAGGAGGAGGAGGAGGAGGAGGAGGAGGAGGAGGAGGAGGAGGAGGCGGAGGAGGAGGAGGGGGAGAAGGCCCGCTACCCGCAGGAGGAGAAGCGCCGGGGTCCCCGGCGCGGATCCAAGAAACACGCGCGGAGCGCCACACGGTTATGTTTTTTTTGCTTCGAGGCACGGAAGGAAGAGCGAGCAGGGAGGGCGCAGAGAGCAGGGGGGAAGAAGCCGTTACCCAGAGGAGGATCAGCGCCGTGACCGTGACCTTGCAGAGTGCTACAAAATGGCCCTCCAGACCTATAGACTTGCCTGGACTGCTTCAAGCCTCGACTGGGAGTCTGGATGTCGAGGTCCTGGTACTGTTTTTTGGCCCTCGAGGAAGGTCTGGAGAGCAGGGAGGGCGCAGAGAGCAGGAGGAGGAGGAGGAGGGCAGGAGGAGGAGGAGCAGGAGGAGGAGAAGACGGAGGAGGAGGAGGAGGAGAGGAGGAGGAGGATGAGGAGAAGGCAGGAGGAGGAGAGGAGGAGGAGGAGGAAGGAGGAGGAGGAGGAGGAGGAGGAGGAGGAGGAGGAGGATGGAGGAGGAGGAGGAGGAGGAGGGAGGAGGAGGAGGAGGAGGAGGAGGAGGAGGAGGAGGAGGAGGAGGAGGAGGAGGAGGAGGAGGAGGAGGAGGAGGAGGGGGGGGGAGGAGGAAAATCCCGTTGCCCAGAGGAGGAGGAGCGCTGGGGGGCCCTGGGCTACGGCACAACGCCTGGAGAAGGAGGAGGAGTGGGCACGCCAGGGCGGGGCCGCGCTGCGATCACAACACGTTGCGTGCGAGAAGCAGCGTGTGTGGGGGGGAAGGGGGCAAACCCCCCTCCGAGACCCCCGACGTAATGATTTTTACCTAACAGCGAAGACTGATAGGTTTCTAGTGGGGTCAAAAGAGAGCATCATGACTCCTCAGGGGGGTCTGGGCGGGACCTGGGGCGGCTGCCGCCGAAGCCGAATTCGCTTGGGACATCCTCGCAAAATCGCTCTTGGCGCTCCCAGAACTCCATTCCCGGGCCACATGTTGAATGCCCGGAGCCAACTGTAGGCCACTTCGTGCTCTTCGACTTCCCAGAACTCCATTCCCGGGCCACATTTTGGATGCCCGGAGCCAACTGTAGGCCACTTCGTGCTCTTCGAGTTCCCAGAACTCCATTCCCGGGCCATGATTTTGAATGCCCGGAGCCAACTGTAGGCCACTTCGTGTTCTTCGAGTTCCCAGAACTCCATTCCCGGGCCACATTTTGAATGCTGAGGCAGGCTGATGCTGAGGCTGAGGCAGGCTGAGGCTGAGGCAGGCTGAGGCTGAGGCCGAGGCTGAAGGCAGACTGAGGCTGAGGCTGAAGCAGGCTGAGGCTGAGGCTGAGGCAGGCTGAGGCTGAGGCTGAGGCAGGCTGATGCTGAGGCAGGCTGAGGCTGAGGCTGAGGCTGATGCAGGCTGAGGCTGAGGCAGCCTGAGGCTGACGCCGAGGCTGAAGGCAGACTGAGGCTGAGGCTGAAGCAGGCTGAGGCTGAGGCTGAGGCAGGCTGAGGCTGAGGCTGAAGCAGGCTGAGGCTGAGGCAGGCTGAGGCTGATGTGACTGCCGCTGCCACTGCGACTGTCATCGCGAATGCGACTACGACTGCGAGAACAGCATAATTCTACAACTGGATTCTCATCTGAATCGTAAGGGGAATGCTTCCAGATATGCTCCTACACATCGCTGTTAGGTTGCTTTGCCGGGATAATTTCATCACGTCGACCCCCAAAGGTCCCGACCCTTTCCCCATGACCGTCTTTGCATCCCGAGTCGTTTTTTGACGCTCCCGAGGCCCAGTAGGGGCCCCCAGAGGCCAGAAATAGGGAAACACCTCCCGTGGTGATTTCTTCAGGACTCGAGGGGCTCTGTGCTCCGAGACAAAGCCAGAACGAGGATCAAGCCCCAGACATGGCCGCGTCGTCCACAGACTCAGAACGGGAGGTTTTGTGGGCCGTCTCCGGCCTCCGTGGGAGACCCTCGCCGGGCCACGGCGGGAGCGTCAAACAACGGCTCGGGACGAAAAGCCCGTCATGAGAAAGTACAACAACAAAAAACCAAAACCCTCTGGAAAAAGTACACTAAAAAAGCCTCACTGAAAAAGTACCCCAAGAAAAGTCATCAAGTCTTCCAGGGACGCCGCACTGAAAAAAATACACCAAAAAAGAGCCCGAATCAATGGATGGTTTGAAATGGGATCGATGAAGAGATCGATAAGGAGATCGACCAGGAACCCGGGAACCTGGAACCCGCCGAAATCGGCCCGGAACCAATGAACAAGAACCCGGGGACCCGGAACAGGGAACCCGGGAGCCCAGGCGGCTACCAAAATCGGCGGGAAACTTTCGCCAAATCTTTCAATTTCCGCTAATTAGGACCCCTTCAGTGCAAGCACCGACTGGGGAAGCAGGACGTCGCATGTCTGGGTTCAGGTGAGGATGCATCGAGGGTCTCGTCCGCCCGGGGCTCGTGCAGTCAGGTCAGACGAAGCCGGACGAGCTCGGACGAGGATGCATCGAGAATCTATGAGATCCGGCGGCTTTGTCTCGGGCGCCGCAACCCTCTCAGAGCGGTCCAGAACGCTCTGCGAGCGCTCCGGAACGCTCTGGAACGGATGTATCTCTGTCCTAGCCCAGGAGCCCAGAATCGAATCGATGAGTCGCATCGGCGATCCACGTGAATCGGAGCGGCGGACATCGGCAGCCAAGCCGGGAGGAGTCGAATCGGCGGAACTCGGCAGAGCAGTAATGCCACGTGGAGAGATCGGAGCCCAAGTCGGAACCCCCAATCGCACCACACGGGAATCGAAATCCCGTCCGATGGGATCTCTCCTCCTCCTCCTCCTCCTCCTCCTCCTCCTCCTCCTCCTCCTCCTCCTCCAAGTCGAATCGGAGGAGGATTTTTTTTTTCCCTGGGGGAGACGCCCGGAGCAGCAGCGCAACGCGGGGCAGCGCGCGCCCACGGACACTCGTGGCACCGAATTAAGGGAGGAGGAGGAGGAGGAGGAGGAGGAGGAGGAGGAGGAGGGCCCACACCAACCTACGGCGAGGCGGTTTGGCCTAGCCTTGCCAGGACGCGCGCCTTCAGGGCAGCCAGCCGTTCGGCAGCAGGCGGCGCCGTGCTGGCCGGCCCTGGTGCTCCGGGCGAGCCTCGGCGCCCCGGCGCGGACGGCTCGGGAGCCGCCCGCGACGACCCAGGGGCGCGAGGTCGCTGCTGACGCTGCGCGGGTGGTGGCAGGAGGGCCCCGAAGCTGTGGGAGAAAGCACACACTGCAGGACAAAACACGCACTGTGCTTGTTCCCAGTGTGTTTTTTCCTGCAGACTGTGTGTGTGTTTTGGTCCTGCAGTGTGTGTGTGTGTGTGTGTGTGTGTGTGTGTGTGTGTGTGTGTGTGTGTGTGTGTGTGTGTGTGTGTGTGTGTTTGTTGTTTTTTGTGTTTCTTCCTGGCGACGAGTCGGATCGGCGATCGAAATGAAGCGGATCGGCGGAGATCGGCAGCCAGGTCGGGAGGAGTCGAAGATCGGCAGAAGCATCGGCAAGCCAGCGAGCGTCCAATGAGAGAGTTCGGAGCCCGGATCGGCACCCCAGGACGAGTCGAGTCGAGATCGGAAGCCACCGAAGGTGGATCGGATCGAAGCGGAGGATTCGGAGCGAGCCCTGCAGTGGGCACGTCCGTCAACAGCCATGCGCGGGCTCCTGCTCGGGATCCGTGGTGGAGAGTAGAAGAGCGGGAGGGAGGGAGGGAGGGGGGGAGGGAGGGAGGGGGGAGGGGGGAGGAAGGGGGGGGAGGAGGGAGGGAGGGAGGGAGGAGGAGGGGGAGGGAGGGAGGGGAGGAGGAGGAGGAGGAGGAGGAGGAGGAGGAGGAGGAGGAGGAGGAGGAGGAGGAAGAGGAGGAGGGAGAGGAGGAGGAGGAGGAAGAGGAGGAGGAGGAGGAGGAGGAGGAGGAGGGATTTGTG